CTGAGTGGCTGCAGTACCTGTTTCCTGGCTACACCTGAGCGCCATCTCTTCCTTCTCCCGGGCATGCTGCTCCCGGAGGAGCTCCAGCTCGTGTTGCTGCCTGCTCTGCAGCAGGGCCAGCTCCTGGGCGCGCCGGCTGTTCAGCATCTCCCGCAGCTCCGTCAGCGCCGTCTCCTTCTCCTTCTGCAGGTTGGCCTGCGTCAGCTCCAGCTGCACCGTGTGCATGTTGCTCAGACTCAGGCGCAGCGCTTCCAGCTCAAGGCTGTGCACCGTCTGCAGCGGAGAGAAGCATCTCTGATGAGGCGCAGAGAGCGGAAATGAGACGGGACAGGAGTAAGCAGAACACAGACGTGAAAACGGAAGGGCCTCCCGTGGGCGGAGGCAGGATGCCAACCAGCTCCTGGGCCAGCGCACACTGCCCACAGACCCACACTCCCAGGTGCTCTACGCTGCGTCCCGAGCCCTGCCGCCACCGGGTGTGCCTCCCACCTGCACACCCCACCCCCTTCCCTCACTGGACAAAGGCACTGTCTGCACTCAGAGCGGGACTCTCAGCCGATGGGGGCAGGGCCAGCTCCCAGGTCAGTGCGCGTCACTCACGCGGCCAGACGCCCTGCCCCTGGGCATCCCTCCACTGGCCCTTGTGAGAGCCCCACACACAGAACGTGGAAACAATCCCAACAGAGGAGAGGAGACGGCAGGCCCGCAGCACTCACCCCGCCTGCCTGGAACCCTCCCCAGCCCTGATAAGATTCACAGAAGAACCGCGGTGACCGTGTGGGGGCCGACCGTCCCGTACCCAGGGCCCGCGTGCTCCATCACCTGTGTCTGCTGCTGCCCGTCGGGTCTGCCCACGAGCTCAGCAATCTCAGGTTCACATTCCTGTTCACATTCCTGGGGAAGGAAAGCAAAGGACATGGCCCAGAATGGACATGAGGAAACAGTCGCTACAAAATAACTGTGACGTGCCAGGGAGAACTGAAAACATATGTCCTCACACAGACACGTGGGCAAATGTTTATAGCAGCATCATTCACCACAGCCGCAGATGGAAACCACCCAAATGCCCACCGATGGAGGAATGAACAAAATGTGGCATGTTCGTACGATGGACACTACTCAGCTGTACACAGGAATGAGGAACTGGCACACGCTACAACACTGAAGGCCTTGACGACACGACACGGAGGAAAGACACCACCCGTGTGGTAGGACCCGTCTACAGAAAACAGCACAGGCAAACCAGAGACGGAGCAGACCGGGGACTGAGGCGCACTGAGGGGAGAACAGGGCAGTGACTGCCAATGGGCACCCGGTTTCCTCCTGGGGAGCTGGGAACGTCCAGAACCGGCAGAGGTGGTGGTCACACAACACTGTGAACGCACTGAAGCCACCAAAGTACATGCTTTAAAATGGTGAATTTTGTTATGTGAACTATATCTCATTAAAATATTACAGAAAAGTATTTAACCTGTCTAAGTGCATTAATGTGCAGTTAAAAGACCCAGAAACAGAGGCTGTGGACGCCACGCCGGCCTCAGCAATGCTGGCACTGGAGGGACGCATGACCTCCAGGAGTCAGGAAAAGGAGAAGAGTGACAGCTACGGGAGTAAACGTGCCCAACGATCCGTGCGTGGATTAACACAGCGCGGTGTATAGACACCACGGAGCACTGCTCACCCATAAAAAGAAATGAATCAATGTCTTTCGTAGCAATTTGGATGGAACTGGAGACCATCATCGCAAGTGAAGTGTCTCAAGAACGGAAAAACAAACACCACACGTACTCTGATAATTTGGAACTAATCCACGGGCACACGTGGGCACAGAGAGAAGGAGAAGTCATTTAAAATCAAGAAAGTGGGAGGGGACAGAGGGGAAGAGTAAAAACCTCCCTAACGGGTGCAATGAACACTTTTCGGGTGACGGGCACACCAACACCCCTGACTTAAGCATCATAAAAACTATCCGCATCACGAAAACATTTGTACCCCCTTCACATTTTGAAATTCAAAGAAAAAAGAGTAAACGTACATAAAATGCCTGGGAAAGGCAGGCACATCGTCAGTAAACCTGCCTGGAGACGCAAACGATAAGGGTCACTGCACAACTAAGCCGGCAAAAGCCGGGAGATATTGCTGAACCGCGATGTCACTGAGGCCACGAGAAACAAGCGTCCCCAAACAAGCCAATGATAGACTATGGAGGTTCAGCTCTTTCCTTAACAGCTATTTTGACAACCTATGTCAAGAGCCACAGAAAACCTTTCTGTCTTTACGTTCCCACCTCTGGGAATGTCTCCAGCAGCAATAATCCAAAGGGAACAGAAAAGTGGCAGGCCTATGTCCTAGCACGAGCCCAAGCTGTGCCGCCCCCAGCCCTGACAGCTGCCTGGCCCTCCCCGTGGCCTCCCCACCTCCACAGCCCACAGAGGCCGTCCTGCTGTGTCAGCCACAGTCCTCCCAGCTGCCCCCACGCCGCACAGACCTCTGCAGCCCCAGACCAGCCACTGGCTTACAAAGCATTCAGACTCAAAATGACCAAAGCTGGACTCAAGTTTCCTGCCCAAACTAGGGGACCGCGCTGGGGGTGGGGAGACAGGGGGTTTGATATGGTCATGAAGGCCAGAGAGGCCCCAGAGGAACCAGACAGAGGGCAGGAGTGGCGAGCCCCACCAGGGCCTGCACCAGGCGGGATTTATCCCCAGGGCGCTGCGGGCACCGAGGGAGGCACCTCTCCCTGAAGTGCTGCGGGCTCCTACACCTCCTCTGCCTCTGTAAACAGTACCCCCAGACCCACACAGTCCTGTTCCCGCCTCCCTCACAGCCACCCCCACGGCCACATCAGCACTAACCCTCCCCGCACGGCCGCTTCCTCCCATGCTGAGCCCACACCCCGTGGAGGCCGGCTGCTCCCCACACGTGGCCTGTGGCGGTGCTGATGCAGGTGCTCCTGCCAGAACTCGCCGCGTGTCTCCAGGCCCAGCACCAACCTGGCACACGCTAGAGACGACATCGTGAAAACAGGCACGCACTCCTCATCTACCATGATGACAACAATTTGGAAACAATGAAACTGTTCAAAAAGAGGAGTGTTACAAGTTAATTAAATATCATTATGGATCCTTTTTCACATCACGGTTTTTCTTTTAATTGGGAAAGGTAACATAGGAACGGCTAGTTTTAAATACAAAAGGCAAGCTCTTAAAAGTTCTGGAATTGATGGATAAAACAGAACAAAGATGACCTGAAAGGCTCCTACGGGAGAAGGAACTTGCCACACACCCAAGAGGAAGGACTTGAAAACTTAACCCACCTGGGGCGCTGGGAGAGGCGAAGGAGCAGAGATGCTCGGTGTCCACACGCTCCTGGGCCAGGAGGCAGAGGCAGGAGCCCTGCAGGGCTGTGCCAGGACAGGACAAACAAGCACACCCAGTGCTCCAGGGCAGGGCGGGAAGGCCAGGGTAGGGGTGAGGGTGTGGCCAGGCTCTCACCTCTGTGAAGTGGAAACTGAGGCCCATCATTTCTTTATAAACTCATACACCCCACAGCACAGGAAACCCCAAGCAAAGAAACAGACTTAAAAACATACCGAGGGAAAGGGATATTTCTGGAATACCAATCGGATGCAAACGTGACCCCATCTGGAAGGGCTCCCGAGAGCCACAACGCTTACATGCTCGCAAACCACACAGGCACCTCGCTAAGGAAGCATCCACCATGTGCTGCCCCAAGAAGTCTAACAGACACATGGAAATCAGAAAACATTTCAAGGAACAAAAAACGATCTTGGGAAGTGGTACCCACAAGCAGGCCCTTACACAGGTACGCAGCCCCAAATCATCAGAGATCCAAATAATCCCACACTACATATTTAATTTAAGGTGAATCGGCCGGGCGCGGTGGCTCACGCCTGTAATCCTAGCACTCTGGGAGGCCGAGGAGGGCGGACCTTTGAGCTCAGGAGTTCGAGACCAGCCTGAGCAAGAGCGAGACCCCGTCTCTACCAAAAAATAGAAAGAAATTAATTGGACAGCTAAAAATATATAGAAAAAATTAGCCGGGCATGGTGGCGCATGCCTGTAGTCCCAGCTACCTGGGAGGCTGAGGCAGTAGGATCGCTTGAGCCCAGGAGTTTGAGGTTGCTGTGAGCTAGGCTGACGCCACGGCACTCACTCTAGCCCGGGCAAAAGAGTGAGACTCTGTCTCCAAAAAATAAAATAAAATAAAAATAAAAAAGGTAAATCGATTGATCTTTCTCTAAATACTAGGCCCAAGTAGAGACCAATTCACTCATTTTAAAGAAAGTATAGTTATATTTCAAAGAAGCTTGAAAATATCTGTAAAAAATCAAGAAATTATATAGAATGACGTGACCAATTTTAAGAGATCCAAACAGAATGTCTTGAAATAAAAACAGTAGGCCTGGCACCATGGCGCATACCTATAATCCTTTTTAGATAACTTGTTCCTTCATAATTTGTAGAATTAGGGGTTTTTTGCTTTTTTGGTAAATCCCCTCAAATTTGAATTTCAAGTTTTCCAAATGAATTTCTTCCCCAATGGTTTTTTGACCTATAAATTCACAATAATTTTGGGCTTTTAATCTGCTGTGCAAACTGAGCTTACAATGATAACGAGTGTATCCGAAAAAAAGCTAGTGCCACCCACAGGGGCCTGCGTTTGAGATGGGGACCTGACGGCGCCGTACCCCTGCCTCTCCCCAGCCAGCAGCATCGCCTCAACCTGGGTGGCGTCAGGGTGTGCTGGACCCGACTGTAATTGCTGAGTCTCTCTTCTGAGCAGTTATAACTATTTGAGAGCACTGACTTTTCATAAATTTTATCCTTATAAGTCTTCCAAAGAATGAGAAATTTTACTGATTTTTTTAAAAAATAGAACAAAGACTGGGCGCAGTGACTCACGCCTGTGATCCCAGCACTCTGGGAGGCCAAGGCGGGAAGATCACTTGGGCTCAGGAGTTTGAGACCAGCCTGAGCAAGAGCGAGACCCAGTCTCTACTAAACACAGAAAAATGAGCCGGGCATCATGGCTCATGCCTGTAGTCCCAGCTACTCAGGAGGCTGAGGCAGGAGGATCACTTGAGCCCAGGAGTCTGGGGTTGCTGTGAGCTATGATGATGACACTACACTCTAGCCCAGGCACAGAGCGAGACTGTCTCAAAAAAAAAAAAAAAAGTATATGCAACAAGAACTAAGTACATCAAAAGTAACATTCTGAAGGTGAAAACAAGTATTCTCATTGAACACCAAACCTCCAACCTAAAAAAACAGAGGTAGAGGTGGGGAGGAAGAGGTTTTACACAATGAGACAGATGCTTCAGAACTTTCTGTAAGTCGACAATTATGCCCAAGCCCAGAATGTGCTCAGCTGAGTGCAATTAGGACACCTGCAACCTCGCTGACCCTCGGGTCTGGTCGGCAGGAACCCCAGCCACGTGCCAGTCTGCCCTCCCCACAGGCGTCCACCTGTCAGCTGGACTACTACAGTGCTCCATTCAAGCATCGCTCACTCCAACCCCTATTGAGAAAATCAATGCAAATAATGCATTTTGTCTTTTACAGATCACGTGCAACTGAGTAAGCAAAAATTTGAATGAGGTCACAGATACAAGTCACACAGAGCTCACAGAGCAGCCAGGATGCTGGGCCGTGCACATAAACACCTGCAGCCCTCGGGTCACCTGGCGGCTGTGCTGCCAGCTGCAAAGCCTGCTTGGTGGCACACAGCTGTGGGGCTCTGGGACAGGCCCAGAACTCCTCTCCTCATAGAAATCAAAGTCCCTACCACAGCACAGAGCCACAAAGATTAAACAAGAAACACAGAATACAGACCACCATGTCTGGCACAAATAAAAAATATATATATGAGTC